CAGAATGAAAGACCTGGAGACTCACCCAACCCCGACCCTTTTGATTTGGCCGTAAGACAGAATGGGAGAAAAATGAGGTAAGTTGCAGTCAGCTTGATGCCAAAACATCAAACTTGCTATTGACTTTATAAAACCAAACTGTGAGGGGCTGGCCCCGTGGCCAAGTGGTTAAGTTCTTGTGCTCTGCTGCAGGCAGCCCAGTGTTTCGTTGGTTCGAATCCTGGGCGTGGACATGGCACTGCTCATCAGACCACGCTGAGGCAGCGTCCCACATGCCATAAGTAGAAGGACCCACAACGAAGAGTATACAACTATGTACCCGGGGGCTTTGGGGAGAAAAAGGAAAAAATAAAATCTTTAAAAAAAAAAAGCAAACTGTGAGCTCATACAAATGAATGTATATGATAAAACAATACCCTATAATATGGACAAGACTCTAAAGAAATATCAAATCGTGACGTGAGAAAATTATTCTCTTTTCAATTCTTTTTCAATCCTTTTAATTAGTCCTAGGAAAAAGTCTCAGTTTGGTGCTAATCGGTCTTTAACACCTTCTGCCACTCTTGCCAATGTCCCTTTATAACAAAGAGCGAGCAGGCATTATGCTCAGAGCCCTGGGCCGGCAACAGTATGGAGCTAACACTTAATAACATTGTTTTATTTTCATTGTTTATTGGAGGAGGAGAGTTCATGGTTACCTTCTCTTTGAGGAAAGTGATAACTGGTTTTCTATTTACTGCTGCCATATAAATTTTTCTTTGGAGTTACATTTACTGACGTTTTTAATCAGTAGATTTAAAGAAAAATACTAAATTCATGATGCCATAGGGGTGGTATATAAGCAGGGCAAAAACCGAAAAGGTGGCCTTGGAATGACTGAGGCTTGAGAGACGCTGCCCCCTGAAATTAAAAATAACCCAGCCATGTAATTATATTGTCCTGAAACTATATTGCAAGTTACCTAAATAGCACAAATTCACAGCAGCCCATCACTATTGAAGCAAATTTTTGAGGGCTTACGTATGCGGTTACTTTAGCAACAGAGATATAACTGAATCGTATTCAAACCACAAGACATACGTGCCTGAAAGTCTAATTATTGGAAAATTATAGACCTAAGAAATGCAGCTATGCCTTGCTGCACACCACAGGGTGGACCAGATACCTCCCAGTAATTGGATAAACCGCGTCTACATGGAAGCCGGGGGGAAAGGAAGAACCCTTCTCCTAAATGCGGCACCCTCAGCCACCTTTGTGTGCAGAATTGCATTTATTCGTTCATTCACTCATTCACTGCATTTTTACTGAGCCGTCATACGCGCTGAAATGCAATGCAGAACGCTCGCGGGCCTCCCGTCCAGAAGGGGGCGCCAGACCTCGCACACCTGAGTGCCTACTGCCTACCGGGCTGCGAAAAGAGCACCCTAACGCGTGACAAAGGAACCTGCCCATCCTGGGGGTGGTCTGAGAAGGCTTCCTGGAGGAAGTGGCCATGCAGTTGAGATCTAAAGAAAGAACAGGAATTAGCCAGCGGCGGTGGCAGAGGAGAGGAAGGTGGAGGGGCAGGAGTGTCCACATACGTGGATGAGCCCTTGCAGAGTGAGCATCTCCCTTGATGCTGTCCCCGAGCGTGATCCTTGGGTTCAGAGATGTGTGTTTCACATGTCTTGGCTCCTGCGTGCACCGAGCGTCCTGATCTTCAGCGGGGAAACGGTAGCCAGTCTCAACGGAGGAAAGATTGAGATGGTGAGTGGGTCCCCAACGTCGGCCTCCCTGTGGGATTTGAAAGGGTGCTTTTGACCACCCAGACTTTCATTGTGGGCACCGACGTAGTGGTTCCCAGCTGGGTCTGCACTTGGGATTCTGGGGATTTTTTCAAGTCTCCAGCCCAGGACATGCCCAGGACACGGTGGCACCTACTAAACGGGAGCCAGGCCATGCCCGGGCCGTTCAGTTAGAGGCCCTGGGGTCCACCCTGTGACCAGTAAAGTTTAAAGCTCCCCACAGGGGTCCGCTGTGTGGCCGCGGCTGAGAACCACGTGGAAAACCTAACCCCCAGGGAGGAGTCGCATCTTCAGCATCTCCCTGAGCACCTTCAGTGTGTCCGCCGTGGCCTGCGGGCCGCGTGCACGTTGGTGAGAGTTGTATCCCTCGGTCATTTCAGAATCACTATGGAAGGCTCCCCCACGCTCAGTGAATGCCCTGGAGCCGAGATACAGAGGAAGAGTGCTCTGGTCGCACGAATTGCCTGGGCATCTGCTTAAAACACAGATTCCGATTCAGCAAGTCTGGGTTGGAGCCCAAGAGTCTGCGTTTCTGATAAGCTCTGGGCCAGAACCGCAGGTGGGTGGCCAGGTCCTGAAGGAAACTTCTCAGATCTCCGCTTCTTCTCCCCGCCGCCTCTCCACCCCTCTGACGGTCCTGAGCATCGCCTGGAGGTGATAAAGGGCAGGGAAAGAACAAAATGCACCCTAGCAGCCTGCTGGGTGTGGACCTGTGCCCCCTAGGCTCCGAAGCCCCGTGATAGCCCCCAATACCGCACACACACACTCCTCCCCCAGCACGTGGGACAAGAAGAAAGAGAAGGGCAGGGTGGAAGAGAGGGTGCTGGGTGGGTAGTTGTCATAAATAGCAACCATCTGCGTGCAGAGCACCCACCCCCGCCCCCCCCGGCAAGAGTCCCCCACCTGGAAGCAGAAGAAAGGCAGCAAAACCCAAGAGGCATCAGAGATCAAAACAGCCTCTGAGGCTTCGTTTCTAATTAATCCCCCGTCCTTGGCAAGTCAATTGTGCCTGTTTTAAACCTGTGCTCCAGGGCGAGGTGGGGTGGAAGCTGGAAGCGAGAAGGTCTTTGGTGCCAACTCTCAGGCAGTGAATTCTTGGGGAGGGGACAGTGGGGTCAGCCCTGACCCATTCAGTGGGGCCAGAAAGGAATGGATTGGGGGCACAAACGCTTGCAGAGGCCGAGCTGGTCACAGGAACCAGTGGACTGGGCGGGGATTAATAGAGGGAGTCCCGGGGACTGGGGCCAAGTGGAGACTGTGTGCCTCGACCCAATAGGGTGACAGCTGCTCCGTTCCAGCCCCTCATTGCCAATCAGAGAGGCAGACCCGTTTCTGGAAGCTCTGCAGAGTTTCCCTCTTGTTTTTGAAAATACGGTTTCTTTAAATGTGAAATCTCCAGACTTAGAGAAGTTGGCTCACATTGTTTTGAAACACCATGCCGTCCATCAACATATGTCTGAGAGCCACCTATGGAGTGCAGACTGCCACTGTGGAACCTCTGAAATAGAGACTGGACTATAGGAATTACCTGGAAAATTAAATGGCCTGCGGGCAGGGACTTCCTTAGGGAGCTCAGAGCAGGAGAACATGGGTGGACGATATCCTGCACATGAGGCACGTGCCCCCGAAGACCTCCGGAAATCACTGGGGGAGACGTTGATGGGCAAGTGAGCTCCTGCAAGAAGGAGCTGGGGGCCATTGTAATTTGGACGTTACTGTCCCTGCCGCCCCATTTGTGTAATGCCAGGAACATTCACTCCAGTTCTGTCTTAACAGCAATAGTACTTACTGAGCACGAACTACGTGCTATCACCATGCCAAGCGTTTTGTGTGTATTAACTTGCTTAATCCTCATAACAACCGGGGGTGGGGGGGCAGGTGGGGTTACTATTATCCCCACTTTACAGACGAGGAAACTGAGGCTCGGTTAAGTGACTTGCCCAAGGTCACACAGCTAGCGAGTGGTAGAGCCTGGATTCAGACCTGGGTAGTCCTGGCTCCAGAATCCATTCTCTCAGCTATTCGCAGCCCTGCCTCTCTTAACTCCCACAGTGACTTGCACACAGTGGGTGCTCAGGATAAGTCTGCTACATTGAAACAAATTCTCTGTCAATTAGATCGAGTAGAATTGGATGCTATGATTTCAACGAATTTTGTGTTCCTATTTCAAGAACTGGCTGATGGTTTCTGCTGGGGCGGGTCCTCGCCCAGGTCATGTGCTCATCGTTATGTTCAGTTGGTGCTTAATCACCTGGGCACCGTCTGCAAAGAGAAGGAGCCCCCGGCCTCCCCTCCCCAGCCGCCCCTGCCTCTGCAGCCTCTTGTTGTTTGTGGCGTCACTGCCTCCCCACCCTACTCCAGCCCTGGGCTCTCCCTCCCTCCTCGGGTCTATTTCAGATGCATCCCGAGAAGTCTGTCTTAGCATTGGATGCTTCAGAGTCCCTTCTCTGGCTGTGGCGTTCACCTGAAAGGGGAGGAGGGGGTTATCTCCCCAAAGCTAAGCATTGTGGGGGCTGTCTAACCCTTTTGTGTTTCCCTTGGGACTTTTTAAAGCCCTTAGAAGAAAAGTCCCACTGTCTGGGAGGCAGGGCTTGTACCTGTGGGAATTCCAGTTCCCTGCCTGCTGCTCATTACCATACGGGAAATCTACAAAACGGGACAGGCTGTGCAGCAACGCGGCTGCCGCAACCCAACAGCCACTGAGCCCAAATGCAGGCTTTAAATCACATGGTTCTGGTTCCAGATCTGCTGATAAACATTCATTCACTCAACAAAGATTTATTGCACCTGCGTTGTTGTGAGCACTGAGGCGGGTGCTGGGGGAGCAGCACAAAACCAAGGGGTCTGTGCGAAATTTACAACCCGGAAGTCAAGTGTCCTCTCTGAAACTCACCTTCTTTTTCTGTACAGTGGTGGTGCTTTTGAGGGTGTAAGTTCCCCTCTAAAGTCCTTTTCCTCCACTGTGCAGCTAATCCCCACCTTTAGCAGACAGCCCTCCTGGTGCCACAAAAGGAGCACTGGAAGGAGAGTCAGGATGCAGCCTTCTGATTGAGTGCCCCTGATTAGGTCATTTCACCACCCTGGCCCTCAGTTTCTGCATCAGCAAAATGAGAGGGCTGGACTGCATCATTTCAAAACTCGCCTAATTCTGTGACTCTTTAATTCAAATAGTCTATGATTCCAGGCTGAGAATACTCTCTGACATCTTCCCATTCTAGGGGCAAACCTCCTCCTTACAGGATGCTTTTCATCCCAAAAAGCAGCAGAAAGGGACTCGCTTCTTGCCAGGTGAGCATGAGGGGTGTGGGGTCCCCTCCTTACAGCAGCTCTCCCAGGATTCCCAGAATGACTAAATTTATCTTCCCCATCACGCTCTTAATCTCTGAAAATTTAATGGCACGACCATAAGCTGCCTAAAGAACACAGCTAACCCATCACCAATAAATCAGAACGTCCTGGTGACGCTTCTGAGTAAATGATGGCCCCTCGGATTGTAGGCAGGCCAGCTGGGGACGTTCAGTGTACCCTGGGAGAGATCTAAACCCGTGCCCTGCTGGGGTGGGGAGGCATGGCTGAGCAGACAGGGACCTTGGGGAGGAGACCAAGAAGCTCCCAGAGTCATCCTAGGGTGTGTGGACGGAATCAGACCCCAGCTTTCCCCGTCAGGACTGGCTCTCCCTTGCCTGAAAGAAAAACATCCCCGAGAGAGGAAAAATGTCCCAGGGTTGAGGAAAGAGATGTCAACTCAGAAACCTCAATTATGATCCCACTCTCCTAAAAGTCCCTGCTTGTCCAGTTTCCAGATTTGTAAAGTGGGGGTCCCAGTAAAGGGCCATGTTCTACCCCTGACCTTGCACACTTCCGTGGTGACCACTGACTGGCCCCGTTTTACACAGAAGGGGAAACAGAGGCCCAGAAAGGTGAAGTGACTTGCCCAAGGTCTTGCAGTGAATCGGGATTCAATCCAAGGCCTGACCCCCCAGGGCCATGCCTTCTATCCCGCAGCGGGTCCCCTGGGCCCTATTCGGCTGCTTTTCCACTTTGGGGAGCTGAATCTCACAAGGAGGTCCCAGCGGCACTCCCCACCCAGGGGTCTCTGAGGCCAGGTGCGGTGGGCTGGGGCGAGGCACGGGGTCTTCCTACACACCCCTGACGCTCGGCTTTCCCTCCCTTTGGGCGGCTCCAAGAGAAACAGGCAGATGAGCAGCTGCAGCCGAAGGTCGTTTGGAGTCCGCCCTAGTGCGTGCCGCGTCCGAGGACATCCCAGGCCCTGCCAGCAGCTGTTTGGAATTCCTGTGGACCCTGGGTCGTGGGAAGCAGGCTCTGCTGGAAACAGGTGAGGAAACGCACATCAAAGGCTGCTTATCTGCCACTGACTTGTGGGTCTCTCAGAGCTCCTGAGTCCACCAGGCCCCCAACCGCTCTGCCTCAGAGCTCAGTGACCCCACGGCCCGGGGAGACGCAGATGGCCCCTCTGTGGTTTCACTACATTCTGCCCGCTGGAAACTCCAGGTCCGGAGCCCGGGGTCTCCTTCACGCCTCCCCAACACCCACAAGGACATAACCATTGACCTCAGGGCTGAAAAGGTGACCCAATGCGATGGATTTTAAACATTTGAAAAAATGGTTTATAAGACGTCTAAACCTAAGTCTTACTCAAAATCCCAATGAACAAAACAGATAAAAGGAGAAGGCAGGGATGACTATCCCAGTCCCCACCCAGCTGGCTGCCTCCTGCCTCCCAAGGCAGCCCCAGGGCCCTTCCACGGAACTCTGGGCCCCAAGGAACCCAGTCTGCAAACCACTAGTCTAGTCAGGCCTAGCAGGGAAAGTGCCTGGTTCTGCAGGGAGGCAGTGCAGGGGTGAGGTCCCTGTCAGGAGGGCAGCTGAAAGCCCGGGAGGCAGACAGCCCTTCCCCTGGTCTGAGTCAGAGTCTGGTTGTGTAGATTTGCCCAAAACCAGCATATTTTGGTTGATTTGTTAGTGGTTATTTGTTTGGTTTGTTGGTCTGTGGGTTGGTTGGATGATTTATTAGTTGCTCGTTGAATGGAATGGTTGGTTGGCTGGTTGGTTGGTTCATGGATTAATTGACTAGTTGGATGGTTGGTTGGTTGGTTTGTCAGTTGGTTCATAGTTAGTTGGTTGTTCAGTTACTCAACTGAGTGGTTAGTTGGCAGTTGGATGGTCGGTTCATTGACTGACTGGCTAGCTGGTTGATTAGATGGTTAGTTGGTTCAGCGGCTGGCTACTCAATTGGCTCGTTGAAGAAACGAGTGAGTGGTTGAGTTAGTGGTTGCATGTAGTAGTGCTTTGGAGAAGACTATGAGACGCAAAGTGAACATCTGACACAAGAGGCACCAGGCAGATGGCCTGAGACGTGGAGGGAGAGGTGAGATGTTCTCAGAGATGTCAGTAAAAGGAAGGCAGAAAAAATGGCAAAGTTGCTGTCACCAGAGCTTGTATGTCCACTTCTTGACTTGGGAGGTGAGCAGAGGAGCTGATGAATGTGTCCTGTATAAACTGTAAAGTCTGCTACACATGTCAGGGGTCCTCTCCCACACCCTCCAGCTCCCAGTGCCTCCTGGCTTCTTCTCCTCCTTCCCCTAAACAACCTTGCTCTTCAATCCTTCACCCACCCTGGGGTGTCCATGATGGAAAGCAGCCCAATGCGTTTGAACATATATTTGAGAGATGAAGCATTAATGGAACTATTTCTGCCACCCTATAGCAGATGGGCTTGGGGTTTGAAGGAAAGATTCTCCTAGGGCCAGTAGTCACCGCCCATGGGCAGCATTTGCTCTGACCTAAAGAGAATGGCATGGTTCATGTAACCCTCGCAGTAACCTTCTGTGCTAAGCATTGGCGTAATCTCCATTTCAACGATGAGGAACTGAGACTCAGCGAGGGGCAGTGACCCAAGTTCCGACAGGTGGATAGTGGGGGGCCCAGACTTCAACCCTGTCTGCCAAGTACAGGCACTACCCCCTTTCACAACCCGGAGATCCCTCAGGTGTTTGGACCACACTGGGTCCTCCAAAGCCTGCTGTTCTCCAATGCCGCGGCCCCTTCCCCTCCCCTTAGGGGTCTGGATGCCAGTCCTGGTGCTGGTGGGGAGCCCCAAGCATCACCCATCAACAGGCCAGGGCCACAGCGGGCTGCACATGCCACATGGCGACCACCACCAAAAACATGAGCGTCACGGGCCCCCTGCTCCCAGCCCTGCCTAATGAGCTCTGAGCTGGGTTCTGAAGACACAATCAATTAATATGAAAACTCTCAGCTGCAGCCACTTCTTGCATTTATTTGCAAGATTAATGACAGACACAAAATTGCTTCTTCACCTCGGGACCGTCAGGGAAATCTAGAGAACACCCGTGCCATGGCCACATAAATATTCTTCAAGCCCACTCCTACTTTTTGCCACACCCTTTGTTACCAGAATGTAGTGTTCTTCTGTCCGCACTTTGCAAGGCCAAGGGGGATGTGCTGGGGGATGGGCATAATCATATAATTGAAAGGAATTTCAGGGCTCCTCCTCCCTCCTACCCTCCCTGTTTGCCCTTCCCAGGGATGTGGGAAGAAAAGATGCTTCAGGGGGGCTAGATGGCTCCCCTTCACGTGTTCCTTCTTCAGAGACCAGCTTTAAACCTTGAATAAAATAAGAAGAAGAAGAATACATTAATTTACCCATGTATTTGGCTTACTATGAGTCAGGCACTTCACCTTGTCTCATTTCATCTTGGCAACAACCCTATGCGCGTAGACCAGTTATTATCCCCATTTTGCAGATGAGAAGACTGAGGCACAAGACCACACAGCGACTGCGTGGAGCAGCCCGGACTTGAACCAGCACCATCTGATACCAGAGCCTGAGCCCTTATCCACTGTCCCCCTACTGTGTGCTCCATGAATCTGAACGACCCTCCCCTAAGGGGCTTTATAGGGTGGTCCCCGGCCAGGACTGAATGAGGGAAGTTGGTCCTGAGAGTCCGCAGGGCTGGACCCTCGGGGGCTCCCCATTTCCATGCAAATCCCCATCTCCACTGCCTGGTGGTCAAGAACTAAGCTCTAGGTCAGACAGGAGGCTCCAGGCTCAGCCCCTCCACTTTCCAGCGCTGTGAGCTTGGACCTTCTCTGAGCCTCTATTTCCCCTCTATAAAAATGTTTGCTGCGAGGTGTGTTTTGGTTTTGTGTTCCACTAAGCAATAAACTGTCATGATAAAACACCGTTCCAAATGTGCTAGAGCAGGAAGTCTTTCTCGCACCCCGTCCCCACCCCTCCCAGTTCTCCTCCCAGACACAACCGCTACCACCATTTCTTCTGCCTCCTCTCCAGATCTCCATCCTCTGTCCAGCTAACAGAACTTTCCCATGCTGGAGGTGCTCCACACTTGTGCTCTCCAAAACCCTGGCTTTTGAACACTTGAAATGTGGTTCATGTGATAAGGAACTACCTTCTGAATTTTATTGGATTTAATTCATTTAAATTTAAATCGCGGCATGTGGCTGGTGGCTCCCATCTCGGAAAGAACAAGTCTAGAGACTCTAATGATAGCTAACATCTATTGAGCAATGACTATGTGGCAGGCGCTGTTTTAAGCACTTCCCCTGTATTAACTCCTGATTCTCATGGGAACCCCATGAGTAGGTACTGTATCCCCAGTTTTCACTCTGCAGAAACTGAGAGGCAGCAGGGTCAAGGTCAGGTTCTTATGAGGTCACCCTACCAGGACGTGGAGGAGCTCTGATCTGATCCCAGGCTGTCTGACTCCAGATTTAGCTACTGTAAACAGGGTTCATCATGAGACATAGGAGCAGCATACATGAGAACGTGTGTGATGAGCTCGGCTGCATGCCTGGCCCAGAACAGGTGCTCCGTAACTGACCCCACCCCTTTAGTCAGGTCCGTCTCCTCCTGCTCTCTGTTTAGACCCGACTTGTCCCCACCCCCGGGCCCTCGCTTATGCTGTGCCCCTTTTCAGAATGCTCCCCTCTATCCTTCCATTTAGCCAAATCCCCCGTGACTATTGGGCACCAACGATGGGATAGAGTGACTCAGGGGCGTGAGTTGGCCTGGACAAGGCCTGAAGGAGTCGGGGGTGTGGGGGAACTGGTCACAGAACCCAGAGAGGACAGTGTAACAGAAGCCACGGCCTTCAGGAGAGGGATGTAACCAACCACAAACCAGCAGGACAAGGACACGACAGACCTCAGTAGGGTGCCAGATGCATGTCGGGGAGCAGTGGGACCGGAGGGTATGTGAGGAAGACTGGGGCAGGACATACGAGCTTTGACTACCAAATGTTAATTTAGATCTGATTTAATAAGTGTTAAGGGCCTGGGGTTGATATATTCATGCATTTAGCAAACATTTATTAAGCACCTACTTAATTGATCCTTAATCATTGGGGGCCACTTTGGAGCTCTCCCACCATGTGACTGCACTAAAGTCAAATTGGACTTGCTGGTGCTCCTCCTCACAATGTCGCCTTTTCTGAGTAGGAGAATGTATAGAGGCAACAGTTAAGTTCTTTACCTTCCTCCTGTTAACAGGGATTTTCTTTGTACGTGAATCCACCCCACATGATCAGAAAAGTAAAAAGAGTATCGCAGTCCCATTTTACAGATGACGAGGCAGAGGCCAGGGAAGTAGAGACAATTTGCCGGGGCCACTTGGCCTGTTAGTGGATGCGCTGGAATGAGCATGCAGGCCCCAGGCTGGATGTCTTTCTCCTGCGTCTAACTGTTCCCCAGCAGGGCAGCGAGGTCTGTAAACTCCATCTGCCAGGATGGGCCTTGCCAGCAGAGGCGTCCAGGTCCCTGGCACTGGCTCAAAGGGCCAGCTTCCCACTGTGGAGGGAAAGAAGCCCTTTGCTTGGCACTGCGCCTGCCATTTTCCATCTGGGTGGGTTTTAATCTTGCAGACGACAGAGAGCTAAGGGTCTCACCATCCTGGGGAAAGCAAAAGCTCAAAGTGGCTCAGAAAGAAGGGGCTCCAGGCCGTGCCCTGTGCCTGGGCACCAAGGGGCAATGCTCGTGTTCATGATCCAAGTGCCTGGGAGACAGAGCATCACACACAGAGCCTTCGGGGTAGAAGCAGCAGCAGAGTGGTCTTCGGCAGAGGCTGGAATCTGGTCTGGGCGCCCCCTGGAAAAGGAGACTGGGTCATCCCTCAGTGCCTGGGAGGAGCTCCTGCCCACTTGCTCCCCACTGCCCTTTAACCGCCCCTCATCCCTCCCTGGCTCAGTTCTGTACCTCAGGGGCTGCAATTCCCAGGCTCCTGGGTCAGCTGGGTTCTGTCTGGTTTCCGCCAATGGGAAACCCAGGCAGGAGATCTGAGGGTGAGGAGAAGGGAGGAACCAGGCATTTCCCTCTTCCATCTCTGATTTGCCATGTGTCTGATAGTGTTGGACTCCTTGGTGGCATCAGTTTCCCCTGGACAAGCCCACTGTAATTCCAGCTTCTGCCAGGTGCTCCAAGCCTCTGGGTACCAGAAATATCACCCCCTCTCTGTGTTTCTCCAGCCCTGGGGGAGCTGGCAGCTTCCCGCTCTTGCTAATCTCTGGCATGTTCTTGTCTTAATTAGGATTACCCTCAAAGCAGATCCTGAAACAAAGACTTGGGTGCATGCAGTTTATTTGGGAGGAGAGCCCAGAAAGAACAAGTGAGGGAATGGGGAAGAGAGATGGGGAAGGGATAAAAGCTAATAGAGGGTGTGTTAATGAGCTGGAGACCTCGATGGGCAATTGGGCTCAGTCCTACTGGGGCCCTTCTAAGAATCACCAGGAAACATACCTCAGTGGCAAGCCACTGGAGGAATGAGAAGCTGTGTCATTTATCTACTAAATTCTGTCTCCATTGTTTGAAGGCTGCCCCTGGGGTGTTAACTCTCTCACACCAGGCTGCCTGGGAGGAAGACCTCATGCAGAGAAGTAGCTTGCATGGGCTTGAGGTGGAATTGAAAAGATACTGGACAAAAGAAGGTATGCAAATGATCCATAAGCACATGAAAAGATGCTCACCAGCATTAGTCACACAAAAACAAAACCACAATGAGATAACACTACATACCCATCAGAATGGCTACAGTTGGAAAGACTGATAATACTAAATGCTGGTGAGGCTATGGGACAACCAGAACTCTGATACACTCCTAGTGGGAACTGTAAGATGGTTCAACCACTTTGGAAAATGTCTGGCTGCTTCTTACAAAACGAAACGAGCATTGACCCTAAGGTGCAGCCATCTCTCTCCCAGGTATATGCCCAAGAGAAATAAAAACACATATCCACACAAATACTGGTACACAAATGTCTATAGCAGCATTATTTATAATAGACAAAGACTAGAGACACCCCAGGTGTCTATCCATAGGAGAATGGATAAAGAAATGGTGGTATATTCATACAACAGAATACCAGTCAACAATAAAATGAACAAATTATTGATACGTGCAATTACATGGATGAATCTCAAAAAAAACGTGCTAGTTAAAGGAGCCAGGCTCCAACTATATGACTCCATTTGTATGAAACTCTAGCATGGATGAAACCAATCGGTGGTGCTAGAGGTCAGGATGGGCATTGTTGGGAGCAGAGGTGGTATTAGCTGGAAAGGGGCATGAGGGAACCTTCTAGAAGAATAGGAATGCTTCGCATCTTGATCTGAGTGGTTGGTTACACCATGTTCACAAATGTAAAAATTCATCGAGCCGTACACTTAAGAGTTAGTGTCTTTTATGTAAGTTACATCTTCCTTTTTTAAAATAAAAACATGAAGAGCCCCATTCTTAAATGTCCTGCTTCAAGCCCTCGGCCAGTCATCGAGGGCGACTCTGCCCTTGGCATCTCCAGCCTCATTAGGCGAAGGCAAGGGAGTGCCAGGGCCAGGCCGAGCCTCTGGAGCTGCCAATGCAGAAAAAACACTCGCTCCCGTCAGTGAGTTATGATTAAGAATTTTCCCCCTGGCCTCCGAGTGTTTTACTGGCTCATCCATCAATCTGTCAGGGCGGCCGTCAAGGCGAGAGCAGCAGAAAACTAACAGCTCACACCCAAACAGCCTGAATAATTCAATGCCCTCCGCAGCCTCCGGACACTGGGAGCGTGGAGCTAATTTTTTATTTATTTCTCTGGCTCTGCAAGGAATTTATTTCCATGCTCCCAGAGGCTCAGAGAGTGGGCCTGGGGCTTCCTTGGGCCAAGAGAGGACAGGCCAAAGCCGTAGAGGCTGGGGTATCCCATGCTGATGTCCAGAGCAGGACAAGGGACCCAAACAAGGGCACTGCCCAGTGGGGGCCTCTGAACAGGAAGGAGAAAGAACAGGCACCAGATTCCCAGGGTTTAAGGTCAAGGTTTAAGACCTGAGTCGGCCACTTCTCAGCTGGGTGGTCTCGAGCAAGTTGTTTGCTTCTCCGAGCCTCAGTTTCCCCAGCTACAAGATGTGCGTGATGATCTGACACTCACGTAGTGCTTCCTGTGTGCCAGGTTCCATTCTAATCACTTACATACGTTGACTTGTTTACTACGCAAACGTCTGTACGTGGTACTAATGACATCATCCCCATTGTACAGATGAAAGAACCGAGGCCCTGAGCTCACCCCAGGGAATCAAAGCGCCGGTCACATAGGGTGAGATTAAAGGAGCTGGAGCTTACAGACCCACAGATGTCATGCCTGGCGCACAGTATGTGCTCAATAAAGCATAGCCACTGCTACTTCTGTGATTAAAATATCTCTCAGGGTCATTGTTTCATTTGCATATAACAATAAACACATGAGGTTGAGGGGCATTGTGTAACTGTAGATGGGGAAACTGAGGCAGAGAGCGAGGTAAAATGGTTTGCCCAAGGCCATACACGTTTACCCTCAAGACGCTGCTCTGTCCTCAGATCCTGCTAGGCTCCCTTTACAGAGCTGCTGACATGGAGCCCCAAGTTCCACAGGCCAAACAGACCCCAAAACACAGACTTCGCTTCCAAGAGAAAGACCTGGATCCAATCCTGCATCAGCCACTCCCCATTTGTGTGAGTAGAACAGGGTCCCTCACCTCAGCGTCCTTGGCTGACATAGGATGAAACAGTCAGTCACACGGGGACCAAGAGGAAACTTGAGGGAGAGAGAGCATCCTGGGTTTGGTCCCCAGCCTTGCCACTTACCAGCTGCAGGACCCTGGACAGGCTGACTTCTCTGAGCCTCAGTTTCCTCATCTGTAAAATAGGGG